GGAGGGCACGTTCTGCATGGAGCACTGGGTGTTATGCGCAAACAATGAATCATGGAACACTTCATCTAAAACTAATGATGTAATGTAGGGGATTAACATAAGAATAAAAAAAACCAACTTGAGTGCTCATAGTGTTACCCTACCAAAGAGCCACCAGATAATTGGCTGTCACTTTTGCCAACAGGGGTTCTAATGCTAGGCCCCTCTCCCCCCTCCCCCCCCCCATTGCAGGCCAGTGCGGGAGGCTCATGCTTGTTTATCTCTTTGGCCAGAAAGGAATGCCCGCTGTCCTTGAATGACCCCTCCATCTCTGTGTGGTGACACACTAGTCCCAAGACCCTTCACCTGTTATTCCCATGACAGCAAATTCAGCAGTTTACTGAAGGACTGGGTTGCACAAGATGGTCTTGTAGGAGCTGTGGGGAGTGCAGGGATGGAAAGACAAAGAACCTGCCCTCAGGGGGCTTACACTCTGCTGGGGAAAGGAAGACAAGCTCATAAACAGCATTAGCCTGAAGTGCTAAAGAATGAGTGCTGGAAGAGGTGTAATTATTAAGGAATAGAGCTAGTGAGATCCTCCTAAAATTTCGTAAGGCTAGAGGAACAGGGATCAGTGGTGACAGTCCGCTGTAGTCCTGTTTCCTTTGTGGCCGCCTGCTACCAGTCAGTGCGGGGCCAGGCCCTGCCGGGGCGCCGAGCTCACAACATGCCAGAGCGTGTCTCGAGTGTGGCAAGCTCCCGGCACTGTCCATGCCCCATGCTGCCTGCGATCGCCCTTGTCTGCCACTCCGGAACGAGAAAGAAGGTTTATCTCCCTTCCGTGCTGTTGGTACACTTGATTTTTTTTTTTTTTTTTTTTTACTTTGCAAATAAATAAGTACAACAACATAATGGGTTTACACAGTGAGATTATCAACTGAACTCCCAAAGAAACCACATCCTCCACCCGCCCCCCCCAAGCTTCATCAGCTTCAGCAATATTTGTGGACTCAGGCCTCACAGAGGGGTGAAACAATGACAGGACAGGAGGGTTCACCCCTCAGAACTTTTGGGAGGAATAGGCACACATGGCATTTCTGCTCTCCTTTTCTCTTAGAGCCCAGTAAATGAGTAAGGGCGAGTCAACATTGACAGATTCAATAGAGAGTTGTGCAAGCCGCCCCCAGAGTCCCCAGGGCAGGGGGGCAGCGTGCACGGGGCCCTCTGGGGATGTGCCCCCCGCGTGATCGCATGGCCGCCCCCGCACTCTCTCCGCCTGACTTTGGTCAGTACCCGAGAACGCTGCTCTCGGACGTCCTCTCTCCCCCGTTATTTCTGTCGCCTTCGGTGAGCGTCACCGTTCCTCTAGCTGCTCATGAGGCAGAAGGGACCACAGCCTGGAGCTTGGATTTCCTGTCCCTCGGTCAGTAGGTCAGTCGCCTGACCTGCCCCCCCCCCCCGCACACCCCTCCCACGGGTCGGCAGGTCTCTGTGGCGTGTCACAAAGGACTGGAGACTCAGGACGCAGCATTCTTATTAAAAAGGACACTTGACTCGTGTAATCCCTCACAGCTTGTTCAAGAGCTTTTCACCTGTGGTGTCTTTGGAGCCCGCCAACAACCCTCATTTTTCAGATACAGGGAAATCGCTGAGATTACGAGTGGGAGCCAGGCTCGTGCACTGTCGGGGATGGAGCTGGACCCCGACGTCGAGTGTTCTGATTCCCGGGCTTACCTTCTTCCCGGCAGGCCTCCGGGCATCCCATTCTGCACCGCGCACGCCTGTCTGCCAAGCCGAAGGTGCCAGTCCTGCCGGCGCTTTGGCCTGTGCATTATACGGAAGCTTTGTCGCCTGACTCCTGTTAATCTGTTTTCATCTGGTTTTTAACTTGCATTTGTCTCTCCTAAACCAGAGGAAATTCAACCAATCTCCTAAACCAATCTCTGAAAGTTGAAGTGTCTGTAACTCCTTTGTTCCCGTATATATGGACAAATTGTCCCCACAATTCTGGAAGCAGGGTTTCCTGTTTGTGTCTGCCAGCTGGCTCAGTATGCCCTGTGCCCTCAGAACCACCACCTCCGGAATGAGTGTAATAAGTGACCCCAGTCTCGGCTGAGCTCTCACAGTGCACCGAGCGCTTTGGGACCTGTGGGGTGAGTCCCGCTTTACCGACACACTGAGACCCAGGGAGGCCCGGCGGCTTGCCCGACGTCCCACTCCTCGGGAGTCCTGGGGAAGCCGGGATTCAAGCCCACGCCTCCCCGACCCCAGAGCTTGTGCTCCTGAGCTCTAGGCTGGGGAGTCCGGAAGGCTCGCTGCACGGTTTCCCAAGCAATCGCTGCCCCCCCCATGAGGCCTAGGAAGAGCGCAGCCTTCCTGGCAGCAGGGCCCAGGCGAGGGTGGGTGTTTGGGTTCGGGGAAACGCCATTCTCAGGAATAAAAAGAAGTTCAAGAGAAGAGAGGGAAAGGTGACTATAAACTCTCGAAGAGGTTGGAAGGAGCTCACTATCAAGATCGGGATCCTGTACATTTCGGAAGCTTTGCTGTCGCCTCATGTTTGAGGAACTCTCTACACGGGGGAGCTCTCGTGTCGTGCTGGGCAGAGCAGGCAGGTGCAGCGGATGAGGTTGGCGTCCAGCAGGAAAGAACCCCAGGGAGGTGAGCGGATGGTGTGAGCCGCAGGGAGGAGAAGATAGGCACTAGGAAATACCTCGAAGAAGCAAGCTGCTGCTGTTTGTGTCGCTTCCCGGCAGGGCAGACCGCAGAGCCCGGGCCACACTGCACCCTGCCTGCGGCTTTCGGTGGTCGTGGGCCGAGCGCCAGAGCTGTGCCCGCGGAGGGGCCCCAGGCAGCCGGGCTCAGATGAGTGAGGACTGGCCCACACGGCGAGGCCCGGCGGAGGCTTTCCTTGCTCGTCCCCTCTCTTCTGGCTTTGAGCTTTCACTAGCAAAAGAACTGGCTTCTGGCTGTTTCTTTGACCTCTTCGCTCAGAGAACTTCCAAAAGATTTCTCACTTGCCTTCCTGCACCTTTGGCAGCTGGGAAGCCTCCCTCCTCCTCTCGTTCTCCAGAATATGCTGCATTACCAGCCACATGCATGTCAGTCGGCTCCCCTCCCAGCCCGTCCTCCCTCAGCCCCCGAGCCAGGCCTGACCTCGATTGTTGTAGGAGACCTTTTGAATATGGAGACCTGAAACCCTTTACCCAACACTCACGCGGTACATTTTACTTTCATTATTCAAATAAACATTGGAATGGCATGGTGAGCATTATTGACAACTTTTTAAAAACCTGGTCTCGCCAAGGTAGAGTTCATCAGAAGATAAGCCCAGTGGTTGCCAAGGAGCTTTGACTGAAAAAAATCAAGCAAGCAAACAAAACGTATGTTCGAGTGCCAGGCTCTTAAGGACTGGAGCCAAAAGTGCTACCGGGAGGGTCCTGTCAACTTAGGTGTGGCCCTGGTATTCTTCTTGACCACCTTGGTCAAGAGGAAGTATTCAGTCCTCTCAAACTCTCTTTGCTCCAAAATCCAGTCTGCAGGGTACATGACTCTGACAGGACACCAACCCAAATAAAGAGAGCATTTATTAATATCCGTTAAAGAGCTAAGTATTACATACCTACTGGGGGTAGACAGTGTTCTGGAACACTGAGGGCTCACAGACATGCATAAGATACAATTCTTGTTCTCAGAGAACAGGCTAATATGAACAGCTAAAGCAAATACACAGTTGAAGATGGTGTCAGGAATAATGTTAGAGTAATGAAGTTTTATAAAGTTTTCTGGCACTTGAAGCAAAAATCTTTTTCTGTTTGAAAGGGAAAGTTTCATCAAGATGTTAACATTTGAGACGGACCTAGGAGGATGAGTTGATTTGGATTGGCTGGAACGGAAGGAGAAGCAAGCATTTCCAGGGAGAGAGAGCAGGGAGGCTACCTGCTTGGGATCCTGAGTGGGTGGGGAAGAATCAAGTGCTCCCATTTGACTAGAGGGTAGCATGTAGGGGAGAAGGAGTGTGAGGTACTCCCTGGAAAGTGGGCTGGGACAGCGCTGTGAAAAGTGGGCTACTCTGTGAAAAGATGGATCTTTGTAGAGTGGCGGTCCGGGGATGGTGAGGAGGGAGGGTTAGTAACCCAGGCAAGAGGAGGAAGCAGTGAGATTGGCAAGGGAGGGACTCAAGTGACCAACATTGCAGCGGTAGATTCGTTAGGCTTGAGGTGATGTGGAACCAGGAGGAAGGAGTCAGTGGGGGACCCATGAGCTCACATCAGGAAGATTAGGAAAATAGGCACCGAGATAAGACTTACGTCTGAAAGAGGACCGGGGGTGGGAGGTGTTGATGAGTTTGGAGCTGGGCATGGTTAAGTGTTAGATGTCGGTTAGCTCTCCAAGGAAAGGTAGCTAGTAAATAGTTGGAATTACAGATGTGGAGCTTATTAAAAGAGCATTTCAGTAATTCTTTACCTAGAGGCAATATAGTTGAAGCCATGAAAATAGGTGATATTACCAAAGTAAGTGTGAGGAGAGAGAGGAGGGCAAGGTAGAAATATAAACTGTGGAGGAGCCATGGAAGCAGCTGGGGACAGCAGTTCAAAACGTGGAAGAGGGGCCCGGGCTGGTGCACTGAGGTGGAAGCCAGGGAAGGAGAGAGAAGGTGTCCATGGAATAGAGGCCATTCTCCCGGGATAGAGGTTCCTGCAAGCTCCAAGGAAGATTCTTATGTGCATGTAGGTTTGGGAAACACAGCACTGTCAAATCGACAGAGGAATGAAGGAAAAAGAAAAGGTTCAATGTGATCCAGCCAACTGCCATTGTATGGAATTTTTCTCGGGAGGGTTTATGATCCCTCCATAAAGAGGCTCATAGCTGCCATAGGACTTGGGGTTGGCACCCGGGTCCAGGCTCCTCTAAGCACCATCACTAGCCGGCTGAGGAATTGCAGATCGTGCCCATGTGGTCCTCACCATTGCTCGTTGCCTCTGGCAAGACATTTCTTTGATGGGAGTTGACATGTTGGGAGAAGCTCGAGATCTGCTGACCCTCTTTTGCTCTGTCTCCTCAGAGTCTGTCATAGGGAGCTGCATGGATAGAAGTTCTCCAGGAGAAGTAATGGAGCTACCTGATCACAATGGACTTGGGTACCCAACACGCCCCTCTGTCAGTGAGCACCACAGGCCCCGGACCCTCCAGAGACACCACACGATCCAGAACAGTGATGATGCTTATGTATGTTGGCCCCCTCCAGCTTCTCAGAAGTGGGATCCTACCAGTCCCACCTTGACAACAGAACTTAGCAGTGGGGGGTCACATCTGCCCTTCTGTTTTTCTCAGCCAGAGTCCAGCACCTCTGGGAACTATGCAAGCATGTCTTTGAATCAGCCTCACAGACTAGTCGAATCTGCGCTCCCAACTTTAGACTGAGGAATCAAGAGTAGTTGCTCTCTGTTCCTTCTGGGCTGAGTTCTTGAACTTCTCCCCAAACGATCTAAGCTCCAGCCCAAGCAGATGAACCCCTAGGCTCTTGGTTAGTTTTCTGACAGCTCCACTGAACTTATTCAGATAAAGGGAACTAATCTAGCTCCGGAAACCTTTGCTTTCCTAGGGCAGCACTGTCTAATACAGTAGCAGCTAGCCACAGGTGGCCCGCCAGATTTACGTGTATTTAAAATGAAATAAAATTGAAAAAAATTTAGTTCTTCAGGCACACTAGTCACACTTACAAGTGCTCGGTAGCCACTTGGGACTGGTGGCTCTGTGCAGGACGGGGCTGATGTGGAGCGCTGTCCTAAGACCAAGTCCTCGGGCACTGGGGATAGGTCAGAAACCTGGTTTTGGAAGGCCATGCCATTGCCAAGGGCATGTGACCACCAGCTGAGGTTTGCCGTGTCCTCCCCCACCCACTCCCACCCCACGGGGGAAGGTGAGGCAGCTTCCTGCGCTGTCACCCCTTCAGCCTCCCCGTTTGGATGGCACCGCGGAGGAAGGGAGTCTGGGTGGTCCAGCCTGGGAGGGGTGCCTGAGGCTGCCCTTTGCCTGCGCTCTATTCGAGGGAACCGCTGTCTTTGGGGGTCACCCGAGAGTGGCACGTTCTCTGGTATCCTGACTTCTTTTCCTAATTGTTTTCTGCAGGTGCAGCTGGATAACTTACCGGGAATGAGTCTCGTGGCTGGGAAAGCACTCAGTTCTGCCCGGATGTCGGACGCGGTTCTCAGTCAGTCCTCGCTCATGGGGAGCCAGCAGTTTCAAGATGGGGAAAATGAGGGTAAGGGGCCTTATGCATGGGGCGCCCCTCCCCCTCTTCACTAGTGACTCTTCTCCTCTTCTGTAGAAAGGGTTCACGGGAAGATGGGAAGCCAGAGCTTCCCCAAGGGGTCTGGACCCAAAGCCCTTCCCACTTCTCTGCATCGAGAATGAGCGCACAAAGTATCTTCTGGTTGAGTGCAGGGGTATCACATCTGTCTTTGTAATGCTTCGATAAGATACTGCTTTAATAACTATTTTTCTAGTTCTCATTAGAGGGCATTGTGTTGTAAGGGACTGTGTCTCCCTCTCCTTGGCACCAGTAAAGGGAGGGTATCATAACAGATACAAAGCATAGGCTCTTTGGAATGGACAGGTCTGCAAGAAATCCTCAGTTTGCCCTTTACAGGCTCCACGGACGAGGCACTTCACCTTTCTGAGGTGAAGTGGCATGACTCCAGCCAGGCTGGTCAGTGTACCTGTTTTCTACCACCGGCCTCTGATCGTGGCCAGACGATGTGGCCAGCCAAATTGGCCTGGGAGGACCCTCCCATAAAGTGGCAGAAACCATAGAGCCTAGATTTTAGATGGTGCTGTGAGCCTTAATTGGCTCAGTGGGTTTAAAGTGCTTAGAACATCGCCTGAGCCTACTAGCGGTAGGATTACCAGCTCCCTTCAAGAGGTAAATCTTCCTGCAGGAGCAGTTCTGTCTGCTTCCACACTACAGGGGTTGACAGTGCCTGAGGTGGGAGATAGTAAAGGAACGGGGCAAAGTGGAACCCGGCGAGACTACGGGAAGAATCCTGGCTCAGCCCACAGCCACTGACCACACGGAGGGCCCGCTGTGAGCTAGAATTCAGGCCTGGGAGTCCAGCTCCAGGGGGCTCCGATTTCTCTTCCTCCTCTCTCCCCCTTGCCCACCTCCCACCTCCACCCCCCGGCTCCCTGCAAATCTCACGTGTTCTTTCTGGTCTTGCAGAATGCAGGGAGAGTCTAGTCGGTCACGAGCACCCAGACCTGACTGATGGCAGCCAGCATTTAAACTCCTCTTGCTACCCATCCACGTGCATTACAGACATCCTGCTCACCTACAAGCACCCCGAGGTCCCCTTCAGCATGGAACAGGCAGGCGTGTAACAGCAAACGGAGAGTGAGTATCGCCCGCCAGGGCCGACCCAGCCCTTGGGCCCAGTGCCAGCGCCTGATCTGTCCGGGGCTTCCTTTTGTGCGGCGTAGCCCGCGAACTTGACGGCACCACTACCCCCAACCCCTTGGTCTTCGCCTCTTCCTGTCCTGTCAGACGAAGCTGTGCAGCTGTTCCGGGGAGCGGGTAGGGCGCATACAGAATGCATGCTGGCCATAGTCCCTTGGTTTATTACGGGGCAAAGACACACGTTGAGGGTGCCGTGGAAACATAGAAACAGGAAGTGAGCTGGGGCTTCGGAGGACAGGGGACCTCTGGCCGCCGTAATAAGGAGAAGACAGTCCTTGACCTCAGTCCCGAAGCAGGAAACCCAGCGAGAAAACGTGTCCGGCTGTAGTTTCCAAGGCTGTGCTGCAAGTGGAAGACTATTGCAGGCAGGGGAACGAGCAGAGGCCAGTGGTAGAAAACAGGAGTCATGCCTGAAGACACAGGAGGTATAGCGTGGCTTCTCTTTGAAAACTCTGACAGAAGCCTGTGAATGAACGTTAAGCCATCTGGCCAACCCGTCTTCGGGCCTCAGCGTGGCAACCCTCTTGAAATACCTGAGGTCAAGTGAGCCGGTTGCATGTTGTGAAAGTGTTCAAGTGAACGTGCGAGCCTTTTGCTGCACACTAATCCTCTGTGTCTGCTCCATTGCAGGTTTGTGTACAGCGCGGGGATGAGAAGGTTGACTTTAAACCAACAGTATCTAGCAGCATTGCGCCAAATTGCCATTGTGTTTCTGTCCACCCAGAATGTCGTGGCCCCTTACCTCACACTGGTTCATCAGTGTGCGGTTCTTTTGGGTTCTGAGGGGGTTTTGCCATGTATACTTGTATGACCAAGTCACCAAGGAAATAAACAGGATATCCATGTTTGCCACCCTTTGTGGACGTGTATTTGGTATATTTGAGTTGGCGGTTTGGTTTGGTTTTGGTTTGATTTCTTTTTTTTTTTTTTTTGTATGTATTCTTTTGGAGGTGATTTTCTCTCTTTTCTTCTTTGTTTCTCCCTCTCTTTTTTCCCCTTTCTTTCCTTTGTTGAGACAGAGGAACAAAGCAGTTAAAACTTCCAAGGCCAGAGACCCAGAGCCACGTCCCTCCCCTGCCTCCACCCCCAGAGCAGCCTCCATGCCTTCGCATTGCTGATCCACAGGGGCAAATACTAACAGACAACAAGTCTGGAATCTTAGTGGTTAGGGAAAGGGAGAGAAGAAGGGGTGACGGCCCCTGGCACTTGGAGACCAGAAAGAGAGCAAGAAACAAACAAAAAGAACCCCCAAGCCTGGAGGGAAGCTGGGAAGGTCTTTACTGCTGGGATCCCATGAAAAACGTGTCTGGCCTGGCCAAAATCGCATCAGACCGTTCGCATGGAGGCCGAGGGTGGCCTGGCCTTGAGCGGTTGCCAGTCAGAACGTCTCAGTGGGAGCGTTCTCTTTGGTGTATAACTCAGCTCCCCTCTTACAACCTGGAAAGTTGGTTGCTTTTATCATCCTGCGGGTCCTACCCACAGACTGAACACCCAGCAGTGGTACACGGTGCTTGTCACCTGTCATTCTCTCTTTATATTGTGCTGTACACGGGTGGTTCTTCAGACACACACATACACGCACACGCTTTTCCCCGTCCGCCTCTTTGACACAGGCAGGAAGAACCGGAGGTTGTCGTGGGCCCTGCCTCCCTCCTAACCTTCTCCTCCTCCCCGGGCATCCTCAGCGCCTGTTTTAATTCTTGATCATGTAGGAATTGTTTTGGGTAAATGTTGATATTATTGTTATTATTATTGTTATTATTATTAATAAATAAAAACAAAAGGAGTTTTTGTTTAAAAGAGAAATGTTTAACCAGATTCTGTTCTATTTGAATTGTGACTTGCACCTTCTGTTCCAAGTATTTTATGTAGACGCTGTACTTGTGAGCAGCTCTTACCTGTGCCAGTGACAGGTGTCAT